AAGACGGCGACTCATTTGATCTGACACGTCATCAAATATCAGAAGCTGTTTTAATGGTGTGAACTTTTCCTTAGATATATTGAAGCATGGTTTAACAACATCAATGGCCAGTTTAATTTCTTCTTCTTCTTCTTCTTCTTCTTCTTCTTCTTCTTCTTCTTCTTCTTCTTCCTATTCTTCTTCTTCCTATTCTTCTTCTTCTTCTTCCTCAAATTGTTAAATTATTTGAAATATATTTATTTTTGCCATTAGGCATAAAATACCAGAGGTTGGACTAAGTTGTCAACCTTTAAATCCAAGCTGAGTCCCAAATCATTGCCACCCAGTCCCAATTCAAGTCTCAAGTCAAAGGATGCTTCCAATTCGAGTCCCGATTCATTGTAACCAAGCCCCAGTTCAAGTCTCGAGTCACAAGAATGCTTACAAGTCGAGTGTCTTGAATCATGGCACACGGGTAGTAACCCATAAGTGCTCCGTTCTTGTTCTAACTCAAGTCTGCGTCCGAATAAGCTCAGCGCAGTGCACAAGCTGTGTAGAACCGGCGAGGATCCTGAAATACTTTTGGGTAGATTTTTAACTCCTAATTTTGCCCGGGCATCGCCGTTAGGCTACTCTTTCAAATTCCAACTGCCAGGGGATTTTTTTACGTGAGCAACAATGCACACGGGCGTCCAATCTCACTACCGAGAGACCAGGGGGAATTACTAGAAGTCCAAGTTCACGTGAAAAAACTCCCAGCCCTTACCGGGAATTGAACCCAGGACCTCTAGCACTCGAGACGGACACCATGCCTTGAGACTATGCAGTCTCAGTACAAACCTGGAAAAGGCAGTGCGAAAAACTCTGATTTAACTCGTTGTGAGAGAGCTCATCAAACATCAAAACTGTCATGACATCATAGCGAGTCTATCAGAGTCCAAACTTAGTTATAGTTGTTGTGGGGTTTGATTGTCAACATCATATGAGTCCCGAATTTTATAAAAACTAAAAAGTAGAGAAAGATTACTAGCCTTATAATTACGCAAGAAACAATGATCATATTTAGAAGCAACGGGAGTAGAAGAATGTGAAAAGGGACTGAACAGAAAAAGCCCTTTTCCAAAGACCCCCCCCCGGATAAAAAGAGAGAGAGAGGGGGGGGGGGGAAAAAAGGAAAAGTTCAATATAAGGACAAGAAGAGGAGACTTTGTTTGTAACAACAACTGTACTAAGCACAGCAGAAGTTGAAATAAAATGTACAAAAGTAACAACAAAGGACTACTAATACTCTGTTTACTACTGGCAACTGCTGCTGAAAACTGCTGAATGCACCGTTTTGCCAGAACCTATTTGCAGGGAATTGTTTGTTTGCTGTGATGCCAATGTCAGACTACAGCCTGGAAATCCGCCAAAAACTAACTATGCTTCTACAGCGATCCTTGCTAGTACAGTGACATTGGCGTTTCTACCTTACCGCACAACTTCAATTAAACAAATAGGTTAGAGCAAACATAGTAGTAGGTAGTAGTAGTAGTAGTAGTATTAGTAGTAGTAGTAGTAGTAGTATTAGTAGTAGTTTCAGTTTTAGTAGTAGTAGTGGCGTAGTTGTAGTAGTAGTAGTAGTAGTAGTAGTAAGTACATTTTCTTCAGCTTCTGCTTGCTGCTAAAGGGCAGTTTGACTGTTACAAACACAATAAGGGGTTCCTTCTAATGTCCTTATTGTTTATGCTTCTCCCCCCCCCCCCCCCTTGTTAGTTTTTTGATTTTCCAGAGGTCGGTCTCGAATCGGACATTTGGACTGTTGCAAAATTTCTCATTCTTCTACTCCCGCTGCTCCAAAATCCTGGCAGTCAGTCTTTGTTCTTATATGAGCTTTCTCTTTCTCTAAATTCTCTTTTTAAAACAAATTTATACCATATATGTTTCGATTTAGCACCCCACAACAACTATAACTAATGTCCTCTGGCATTTTATGATGTCAATGACGCAGATTTGTTGCACTGCTTTTACAGGGAGGCTGCGACTGCGTGGTCACGTGGCATGGTGTCCGCCTCGAGTGCTATAGGTTCCAGGTTCAATCCCTGAAAAGAGTAGCCCAACAGCGCAGCCCGGGCAAAATTTGGGAGTTATAAATCTACCTAAAGTATTTCGGGATTCACGCGGGTGCTACAGAGCCTGTGCACTGTGCTGAGCTTCTTCAGACTCAGACTTGAGTTAGAATAAGAACGGAGCACTTATTGGTTACTACCCGTGTACCTTGATGCTGATACACTGTTCAAACCTCAAACCTCATTCCAAACTCTGTCACCATGGTATCTCTCTTTCCATTCGTCCTACCAGTTGTTACCATACACTGCTCTATGTGTCTGTTATGCTGTTATGTTCTGGCACATGTCTAGACAAGGCAACTGGGACATGCTGAAAACCACACAATACCATCACCGTTATGGTGTAAATTTTGGCATACAAACAAGCTACGTATATTGGCCAGGGCATCTTCTTTCCCCTCCTGAACTGCAGTCTGTATGAGTAACACCTCAAGCATGAGAATCAAACCACTGCAAATCTCGGAAACCATGTTCAACCGTATGGTCATAAAGCACAGTTATTGTAATTAATCTGAAGTCCAGTGTGGGTGAAGTCCAGTGCTCACCTCCAACCCCACAAATAATTTTACTGGGGACTGAGCCCCAACCTCAGATGAACCCCCCCCCCCCCCACACACACACACACAAACATCTTGAAAATGTGTATGTCGACTAAGCCTAACACCCCCCCCCCCCCCATTACTCTTTTTTTAACGAAGGGTACCTCTCGTTTTTAATATATGTTTATACATTTTATATTATTCCACATACAGAAGTTTTTCTGTATCTTCCGCTCTGACACACGTCCAGCATGCTATATCCAGCTTGGTATATGTACTGTTAGCCAGACTTTTAGCAAAAGTCAAACATAGTAAAAGTTCTTTGGCCAGATTTTTAGTAAAAGTCAAACATAGTAAAAGTTCTTTGTAGAGATGTTTAGTAAAAGTCACAAATAGTGAAAGTTCTTTGGACACATTTTTAGCAAAAGTCAAACATAATGAGCCTTAACCAGGTCTGAGCAGGAAAAAGAGACAGAAATATGACATAGAAAAATACACCTGAAATTTCACTTTCTGAGCGTTTTATGGAAAGGGGACTTTCCTTCCTAACAATAACACCTCCTCCTCTTTCCTTCTGAGTACCATCCTAGTAGAAATGTAAAGTGAGGTTAAATTTGCCATTTCTTCACCTAATTACTTTTATATTTTTGTATTTCAGTATTAAACAGTGTTTAAAATATTTTATACAACACCGTGAATACATAATATGCCAATAACAATAGGATTTTTTTTTCATGAGAACGGATTAATCATTCTCCATGTAATTCTCATGGGAAAATCTGTTTGGTATACATACTGTTTGGTATACGCACTGTTTGGTATACGTCATCATGTAGCAGGTCCTTTGCAGAACGTCGCTCTCATCACGTCTGCTTTAAAGAAACTCGGTCTCTCGCCAGTTCTCCCGCCTCATGCACTTTCACACTCAATGAGTCACTTATAACCTGTGCCCATCTTCGTGTCGGTCAGCCCCTGCCCCTCCTTCCTGGTACCATGCCTTCTGCTATAATTTTTCCAATCCGTCATGGTGCTTGATATGACCAAAATATTTCAGCTTTCGAGAAAGGATGCTGTTTATTAGCCAATCTTCCTTGATGTTTAGATCTTTCAAGATGTCAATATTTCTCATCTTCTTTGTCCAAGATATTCTTAGAATCTTTCTATAGCATTTCAGCTCAAAAGCCCTTATTCTATTTCTTAAGGACTGAGAGATAGTCCACGACTCACATCCGTATGTAGGCACAGGGAAGATGCATGCTCTCAAAATTCTAATTTTTATCTCTTTGCTGGTGCTTAACCATAGACTTTTAAGGCTGTTCAATCTTTGCATTGCTTTGGCCATACTGGTATACGTACTGTATGGTATACGTCCTGTTTGGTATACGTCCTGTTTGTTATATGTCCTATTTGGTATTCATCTTGTTTGGTATACGTCCTGTTTGGTATACATCCTGTATGGTATACGTACTTTTTTTGTATACGTACTGTTTGGTATACGTCTAAGCATTTGGAACGAATTAAGGACACATACCGTGCTACTGTAGACTCTTAAACTGTTTTGCCTTTCCGCACATTTTGTGTGTGTGTGTTTGTGTGTGTGTGTGTGTAATTACGCAATTAAACAAAGCAAAGGCCTTAGAGATTTTACGACAGGTAAGTAAATGTATACACTGTTGTTTGTAATTGTATCATTGGGGGGTATTCTGATGAATGCTTTTTAGCTGCAACATTCATTCTGTCAGTCGTGATAATGGTATTATTAGAAGATAGTTGCGTATACTTTACATGTCGTTGCAGAACCAACCTCAGTAGAAGTTGACTGTCTTTTACTAGATAATTTAACCTTTAGTAATTTACCACTGTCTTAACAGTCGGCTCTCCAAACCAGTATCTAAATCAATTAAAGACGACTGCCATCATATAGCCCGCAGCTGTATCGAAACGGGTAACTCGGAATTACGAAGCGCTTATACAACGGCTAGGTCACAGACACCCAAAATACAGTGAAGGAGACTAATTCTACTTGTAGTCTGGACATATATTTTCTTATTGAAGTACAAGATCCAGAAAGCTACAGACCAGAGCTATTCAACTGGCGGCCCGCTGACCAAATCTGACCCGTGGTGGCATATCCAGTGGCCTGCGGATCATTGCCAGCTGCACATTGTATTAATGATCTTTCTATACTAGGGTTCCAGCCCCTAGCCCATGACGATCTCTATTTTGGCCCCTAAGTAAACTTAGTTGAATTGCCCTGCTGTAGACAGACCAACGACACATGCCACAGACAACACAAGAAGACATCACACGTAAGGCTGTGTACAGTCAAAATTACCAATACCCAACAACACGCACTTTAATAAACATCACTTACCTCCCCCACTCTTGTAGCATAGATACGGGAACCTCCAGATGTTGCCCAATCCAACGGCGTATCCGATACAGGTGAGAATAAAGTCTAGCTTCCCGCCCCAACCTTCTCGGGCATGACTGTCACCTGGCTGCATCTTGTCTAGTTCCGAAGAAAATGAAGAACTCCCACTGCTGGTGCGGCTTTTCCCCATTATCTATGTGGCAGAAATCATAACGTAGAGTTTTAAGAATCATAATCGTCGTCGTTTAGTAAGTCATATGCTGTCCTTTTATCATAACAGAAATAATAATAGACCAACTGCCTACCCAAAAGCATGTCGTAAGAGTCGACTAATTGGGATCGGAGTGCATCTGCCTGAGAGGCAAGAAACCAGCAGTCTGCATACAAATAAGTCAGATCTGTAAAACGGATGCACACCCAACACTCGGGTTCTGGAACAGGACTGCAGTCCAGAAGTGGATGAACAACCAGACCTTCAAGAACAGCCTAAAGAAAATGAAGATTAATTTATGTAGCTCATCTGAAAGAGAAGATTCTACCAACTCCTCCAACAAATGAACAAAGTATGGACTGAGGAGGAGGAGAAGGAGAGGAGGAGAAGCAGGTCCCGATAGTCCCACCTCAATAATTATAATGCCCAATGTGTCCTTGCTGCCAGTGGGGAGGTCTCTGGTTCAAATCTGCAAAATTTTGATTTTTATTTAATCAACATTTCCAAGTAGACACTCGGAGCGAGGGTGGATACGGGGGAGACGAAATAAAAAAGAAGAAACTGTTATTGATTGTACACCATTAGCGACATCAGAAATGTGTGTATCTTGCGCCAAATAATTGCAGGTCTCTCTATGCTTGCTATAAATAGCAGTGCAGGAACAATAACAGGTTTGCTTTTTCTGCCAGGGCTAGATTTTGTTACCACCTAGTAGCTATTGTTATCAAGCACTGAATAGATTATCAGACGGAGAGTAGGCATAGAACCACTACTGAACTTTCTGGCAGACAACAAATCAAATGGTTTGACCATATAACAAGATTGACATTAGACAAGACACCACGGAGAGCACAATGTTTTACAGATACAGCGGTAATCGATGCAGAGGTCGACGACGCAGAATATGGACCGCAGAACTATCAAAGACACTAAAAAGTAAGTACCTTATACGATGGACCGCAGAACTATCAAAGACACTGACAAGTACTATCACCGATTATACTCTATCATACGATGGACCGCAGAACTATCAAAGTCACTGACAACCGCAGAAACTATCAAGCACCTTATACGATGGACCGCAGAACTATCAAAGACGATGGACCGCAGAACTATGACATGGACAGTAAGTACCTATCCATACCGCAGAACTCTTATACGATGGACCGCAGAACTATCAAAGACACTGAAAAGTAAGTACCTTATATCTTATACGATGGACCGCAGAACTATCAAAGACTCTGAAAAGTAAGTACCTTATATGAAGCGAATAGAAGGGCCCGTTCCAGAGATCTCTTCCTGCCCTGACGACGCGAGGAATTCCGGGAGTAAAGAAAGAAAGAAAGAAAGAAAGAAAGAAAGAAGAAGAAGAAGAAGAAGAAGAAGAAGAAGAAGAAGAAGAAGAAGAAGAAGAAGAAGAAGAAATAAGAAGAAAGAAGAAAGAAGAAGAAAAAGAAGTGGACGAAGAAAGAATGATGAAGAAGATGATGATGATGATAAAGAAGAAGAAGAAGAAGAAGAAGAAGAAGAAGAAGAAGAACAAATAGTCAAATAGGCAGTTGGTTATTTTTTGTTACATACAATTTGTACTCTTCTCCTCCTTAACGTTATCTCTCACCCTACCCCCACATCATAACCATATCAATGACGCCTAGCTTAGCTGTCTAAACACAGAACTAAATTAGTTGTGCAAGTAGTTGTCTAAACACAGAACTACATTAGCTGTGCAAGCACTCGGCGTCAATATTATGTATATTGACAGCTGTTAACAGCTGTCGGCGGCCTAACAAGTTAAAGCAGTGTTTCTCAACCTGTTTATACCCATGGCCTGTCAAACAAAGAATGTTGCTTCGTGGCCCATCTGACAGCTTAACCAGAGGTCAATACAAAAAAGCAAAGGTGGGTGTCAGTTTACTTGCTAAATCCGATGTCACAAAATTACAGCTTTCACCGTAGTTTGTTTCTTGGTACATCAAATCCAATTGTATTCACCCGTTTAAAGTGCCAGTTGACTTACAATCGATCAAACGGAGAGACAGCTTGGAAATAGAGTGGAAGAGCATATCCACAAATGGCTGCATACACAGCTCAGTGATTATTCAAGGGTGTCGTGACCATAGGACGTCATGTGCTTAATTCCGGACAAGTAATTGACACCGGCAGTGCTTTCAGTGTGGTTTATCACACACCAAACAGGCGACTGCTGCGAATGGCCGAAGCTTTGACAATTAAAATCAACACATTTATAGTAAATGTGAAGTTTCCCCTGTTAAGTCATGTGACTACAGAGAACTTCTGGCGACTAAACACACAACGATACGTCGAAAGAAACTATTCACATTTCAGTTGGATTTAATCAGTTATGTGCTTCATTTTATGTTTATGTAACTCTGTAGTAACGCACCTGTCGAGATACAGTGAAATATGCCTGGCAATAAATTGTGCAATGTATTGTTTGTGTCCGCAATATTGAAACAACTGAAAGTAAATGTTCCTAGAAAAACTAGGGTTTTTATTAATATCCTACACCAGATGACCTCCCAGGATAGTCCAACATCTTAGAGGGTGGTAAGACTGAGTTTCCTGGCTTTCTGGCGCTTTTAACGACCCCAAAACATCTAGAACTGGCCCTAACCCCACCCACCTAGAGAGTGCAGCCTAGGTCTCACGACTGCATGCAGCCTATCTATCACCCCCTAAAATATTAAACTGTCCCGTGACCTGCGGGGTAGGAAATTTATATAGCACCAAAAACCACAACAGTAAACATATTCTGGGGCTGGTTCTGCAATGTCCTGTAAAGGGTGCGCTACAGACTGTTTAAATAAATCCTATCCTGATATACGGAAGCGAGTCATGGACAGTTGGTCGATTAATGAAAAAGTATTTGAAAGCTGCGCAGGTGTTGTTTTATAGACGAATGATGAGAATACTCTAGACTGCACCTGGGACAACAGATCATGTCCCCCAAGCTGTCCCAAATACAACATGTCTAAACAAAACTTTTGGCCAAGAGAAACATCGGTGCAAGTCAAACTTTACGGTTCGCTGAGTGAATTACAAAAGACAGTGAAGTTTATACTAGAGACAACACTGCAGATATAGATAATTTTTTTCAAGCGAACGAAAGAAGAAGTAGAATACTCTGGACAGATAAAAAGAGTAATGAAGGTGTCTTGAAATAAAATGACTTACGAAGAGGACTGATTGCCCACAACAAGAGTTGACAATATAGACTGTTCAGTCATGTGAAGAGAAGGAGTAAAACTGGAGTACATCGTGGCAGTGAGGAAGTTGGAGAGGAAGAGGGATACCGACAGAGAAAATACTGGATAGTACAGCATGGAGGATCCACTGTTTCAGAGTTGATTTGAAATACACAAGACAGGGGGTTGAGTATATACATGACTACCAACGAAACATGCCAAGGATTTTTAGAGAAGAAATCTAAAAAAATTGAAAATACAGAATGTGGCAGCTCTCTGACACCATCCAGTACCATGTTTTCACCTGTCGTCCGCTGACCACTGGCGGTCAGCGCAGATTGCTTAACGGTCCGCCAACATTTTCGCTCAGTCATGAGTTTAGAAACAACGCTTGAAAAGTGTGTACCAGATTTTCTGACCCCAAAGCCACAGGCGGTGTCTCAGTGGCTAAAAGTTATTTTCATATCACCAGAACCACCCACAGGGAACTACAGGCTACATTGTAACCGCTTTGTGGTGTCCCACTATTATTGCTATATGGCCATGCGGTTGAACAAGGTTTCAGGGATTTCTACCTGTCTGGTTCCCATCCTTGAGACGTTAATCCTACACCACAGCAGTCTTGGAGGCCGAAAACTTGAAGACATAAAAAAAATTATCGGATTTAATAAAAAAAAAAATTTAAACCGCTCCTTAAATTTATTTTTGTACGTGCCTTTGTCCTCAGCGGGTATGTAAGAAACTGCTGATGTGGCGGCTTTTTCTTCTTGTTTCCTTTTCTACGTGCAATTTTTACATATTCATAGGGATCATCCCCGGAGTTAAGGAGTTCGTGCTTGTGATGCTCTCGGCAGGCGACTAGCCGCTCTGCTGAGAGAGAACGAGTCATATGGGATAAAAACCCGGTGCTTTGTAGTCGATCCTTTCGACTTCAACTTTTAACCTTAACCTTCTTCTCCGTACACATTTCCGCGTAGTCTCTTATTGTTTTCTTCTCTTCTCTTGATTCTGTCCTTTCATTTCTGACAATTAAAGTTTGCTCCACCATCCCCCCCCCCCCTCTTTCGCCAATCAAAATCCTGCCAACTTCTTTAGCTTTCATGTTTGTACATAGAAATGTGTTTTGTTTTGTAAGTTTTCGGCATCAATATCATGTTTGCTGTTAATCTTCTGCTTCTTGTTTACCTCTGCAAATTCTGTCGAAAAGTTCCGGTTGTCCACCTTTAGACTTCAGTCTTCTTCGAGAACCTGAATGTTGTATGCACGTCCGTTTTACAGATCTGACCTGTTTGTTTGCAGATTCTGGGTTCCTTGCCTCTCAGTCAGATGCACTTCGAAGAAAGCCTCCAATTGATTGACTCTTACCGCTTTTTGGGAGGCAGAGGGTCCATTCAAGGCCATCTTCAATATTGAAGACAGCCTTGGTCTATTTCTGTTTCCCTACACAGTGGGGCAGCAGAACCCACAAACTGGGGCAGCAGAACCCACACAATTTGGCAGCAGAACCCACACAATGGGGCAGCGGAACCCACACAGTGGGGCAGCAGAACCCACACACTGGGGCAGCAGAACCAATACAATGGGGCAGCGGAACCCACACAGTGGGGCAGCAGAACCCACACACTGGGGCAGCAGAACCCACACACTGGGGCAGCAGAACCTATACAATGGGGCAGCAGAACCCACACAATGGGGCAGCGGAACCCACACAGGGGGTTTTGAATAGGAGTGTTTTGAATAACTGACTGACTGACTTTCTACCCCACCAGGACA